CCTGGTGTGTTTAGGCTGACTGGGAGAGCCTGGTGTGTTGAGGCAGCCTGGGAAAACCTGGTGTGTTGAGGCTGACTGGGAGAGCCTGGTGTGTTGAGCCTGGTGAAAAGGTTGACAAGGAGACACACCCTGCTGGATCAGTGCTGCCACCGCTGACTAAGAAGCCAAAGTTAGCCAGCGTTTGCAAGAGTATAGTTTTAGTTTGCACAGGAGCTAGGCAGGATTCCTAAAGCAGACCCATCCTGGTCCTCACGGGTTCAGGTGGAATGCACGTCCTCATGGGAATGCTGCAGTTGCCCGTGGCAACCGCAGCCAGCAAGTCTCTCCCGCCCCAGGCGTGACACTAGCATGACGAAACCATCTTAATACTCTGTACAGCAGAAATATAAAATAGAACATATAACCAACTATTTATATGTTTACTATTATATACTTAAAATAGTTAAGTAGAGTATAAGATATACTAAGTATATCAAATATTTCATTAGAAAAAGAAAAATCAAAGGAAATAATGATCAAGAAGACATTTTTAAGCTATTTAGCATTCCAAAGGCTGACAGCAGTATTCAGTCATTAGAATGAACTGAACAAAAAAGAAAGGATACTTCCTTGTCACAGCACAAAGGAGACAAATATGAGTGCTGGGTAAATTCTAATTAATTTATTATACACTTTCCTCTGGATCTTTCTTAAAATTAATGAAATCCTGAATATACAACAGTTGTTACTGCAATACCTAATTGCAGTGGCTGAACCATAATTATCAACGTGCTCCTTTAATTGACTTTTCAGTTTATAGCAAGCGCTTTTGATCACACACTGACAAAAGTAATTGAAAAAAAAATAGGCAAAACTCTTTCCTTCATTACATTTCTGTGCATGTTTAGAACTGCGTTTTTGGACCAGGTGATTCCAAACATATAAATAAATATTTAAGCCTCTGATAAAGTTTAGTTATGTAAGCAGTTCTAGATGTTGTGGTTCTAGGATTGGGAAGGAATCCATTTGAACTCCTTGGATTTCCGAAGCACTTTTCCTCCTGCGGGATCCTAAAGCACTTTTACAGATACTGTCAGAGGTAATCCAGGTTATTCACCTCTGAAGTGCAACATGGCAGGGATTGTACTGCAGCAGTCCCCCTGCACAGCAGATCTTAGAGAAGTGAGACGTTTCTGCAACATTTGAATTAAATGACAGGGAGGTAGATTTAGGAAGGATTCAGATGTGCAAACCCAAAGTGAAATTTAGCCAGGACACCACAGTAACACCCCAACTTTTACAAATGGTGCCATGGAGTCTTTAATAATTGAATAATTAGGAATGTGGTATAATATCTCATCCACGGGACTGTACCTCCTAAAGCAAAATGTTCTGTACCATGGGAAAGAGTGCCACCTACTGGTCCACATACACCACTTGCAGTTGCGACCTGATTTTCCTTAAAGGTGTCACCTGCCCATAGAGGGAGCTATGTCTGAGAATTTTAAATTGGTACTACGTCACTTAATGTGTGTTGGTGTCAGGAGGGGTTGTTTCTACCAATAACAAGACAACTGTTGTTGTTGACAACTATGCTGAGGTTATGCTTTCTGTTATTGTGTGAAGCCTACCCCAGACATACAGGGCACAAGGCAAGACTGCACCCTGGACAGAATGTTGGTCCATTTCAGAGCACACAAACACACAGATACAATATAGAGACACAAATTAACCTAGAGACATTCCAGTCTTTGGAATGTGGTAGGAAATCAGAGTAGCCGACCAAAACACTACATGAATACAGAAAGAACATGTAGACACTACACATAAGGTGTTAACTCCAGAGTGGAATTAAACCCATAACTCAAGAGTTGTGAGGCAGCAGCATTAACTCCCACACAACACGTGTACTGTCCTATAAAACTTTAAATATGGAGTTGGAGTTTTAAACCATAGGTTAAAATATCTTGCTTTCATATTTAAATATTTAATTTGTGTACTAACTATAGTTTATGATCATGACACTTGTTTTTGCTGTTACCAATTGACTAAGCTGTAAATACTCAAATTTTCTCTCTCCAGAATGGAAGCAATCATTAAATACAGTCCCACAGCAATCGTCTAATGTGTTCTGTATCCTGCTAGATGAAATTAGAATTCATGTTGTTCTACTTTTAGTGGGGCTACTCATACATTTTTAATCATTACTGGCCTTGTAAAAAAAAGCAATTTGCACCATCATTAACTGAGGCTGCTTAGATTTACTTTAGGAAAAATGAAAAAAAAAATGCTAACCTTATTAAACAGGCTTAATTACAGTATATTCTTGTTGTACTTAGAAATGTATAATGAATATGGTAACATGTTACATTAATTAAAAAACATTAACTTGAACCAGGCTCACATGCACAATACACCAGTTTTTAAGGCTAACATGTTAGGTTGCTAGGAGGCTACAGGCATTTCCTCCAATGGGGATCACTAGCTTTTTGTATCTGGTTGAATGTAAATGTTTAATCAAAATGCCTTACTTGGGCTTTCCACGGCTTCATTGATAATGAGCTGTTTTGCTCATTATGAGACCTGTCATATCTGTGAACAATCTTACTAAAGAATTACAAAGCCCAATTTTTTATTCATGGAGAATTAAACTGGTTTTAAGCTGAAAGAGGCAAGAGATTAAAAGGGCTAAAAAGAAAAAAACAAAGTAATCCCAAATTAAAATAGGAAATCCTGTATCCATACAGTACATACTGTTTATTATCATGTAGAACATGGCTTTGTGCAGCATACAGTTAAAGAAGACTTTCCTGAGATGCACATTTTTATATTCAAACTGAACACATCTAGAATGTAACAAGTTACAGCAAATGTCAGCAAAAATTAAAGACAAAAATGTGCTGATTGCATAAACATTCAGACACAGGAATTTAGTAATTGTGGAAGTACCTTTGGTAGCA